TTAATTATAATTTAAGAGTATTAAGACCTTATGTTAGAAAAAAAATATTACATATTTTTTTTTTGTCTTCTTTATATCAAGTATAAGTCTTTAGGAGCACAAGCCCTCTCACTTTTCTACGGATCTGGCTCCTCATCATTTTCATTCAATTAAATTATCGCAAGTTTCTATTTTGATTGGAAATACATGATATAGGATAAATTTAATAGCCAAGATTTGATTAATTGAAATAAATCTCTAAACATGCGAAGATTAAAAATAGAGAAATGCTGAATTTCCATTTTTACATTTGATTTTAGAGGAACTTTATGATGCGGATACTCATACATTATTGAAAAATTATTGAGATGAGTGTCTTTTAATAATTAATTATAGATTTTAACGATATCTTTTTTATTCATTATCATTTATAGTGATACTATATTAAATCTGAAATATGTATTAAAAGTGAATTAACTATGCAATATATATGTACTATAACTATTTTTAAAAATATATTATGATTGTTTGGTAAAAAGTTGACACATCGTATTATAAGTTTATTAAAATGTGTGGTAACTGTACTATCCATCAATAAAACTTGTATTATATGTGAATAATAAATTATTCTTTGTAATATGTGTTAAAACTGTATTATAAATATATTAAAAGTGATTAAGTAAAAAAAATATTATTACTATAAATGATAAATATTTTTTATTTATAATATATTTATATTAAGAACAAAAATTACCCGCAACAAATATTTACATCAAATCAATACATGCATATCATGTATTTAAATTTATAATCTATTTTACTTCATTAAATCACATAATAATACATTTTGCATTCAGTTGATATAAATATTTTTTCTTTTATGTAAGTTTGTCTTTTGTTATCTCTCCTTATAATAACTAAATCTCAATCAGCCCACATGGCATCCTACGACCATAATCCTCTAAACAGTTTTTTCTCTTCTCTTCTAAACAAATTGGGTCAGCCCACTATATCCATAATCAATTGTAGATAATTACTAGGACAAATTACCTAATTATATATTTTTTAATAATATTTTCTATTTTTTAAAAAATAATAAATTACTTTTTTCTTAATTTTTTACTTTTTGAATATATCAGTGTAAACTATCACCCCAATATCCCCTCCCTCCTCCTTTTTCACGCTGAAAATCACTTTATGATATCACCAATTATCTTCATTATTGTATTTTTGAATTTCAAATCTTTTTATTTTTTGATCTATGACTGCAAATTATTGAAGAGGTAGTTCTTCTTCATCCATTTTTTCTCTTTTCATATTTCATCAGGTATCAATTTTTATTTTTATTTTTTGCTTTTTCATCTACTATTTCAGTCGTTGAAGAAGGATGCATCTTCGATCTCAAAATCGATTGTGGAAAAAAGGTCGAGTTATTGCTGCTCCAATAAGCGCTTTGAGTCGAAATCCATGGATGACGCCATCAATTGAAAGTGAAAAGAAGTAATAAGAATTGGACACATAGCAAAGGAGAAAGTGTGGATGATTTCTTCAATTTTTTTTTTACTTTTAGCAGATCAAACTGTTGACTTTTTTACTTTTTTTTTGGTTGCTTTGAACAGATCTTTTAAAGTATCGAGTTGATTTTGATTCTTAAATTAATGTATAATTCATTTGTTTCACATTTACGATATACTATAATTTTATCATGTACAATATATCGTTGTCAAATATGAGTTTTGATATATAAACCTAATTTATTGAAACGCAAATTAGTATGTATCATGTTCATAATTATGTATTGGATACACAATTATCACAAAATATTTATTATCTTTAACTACTAATGCATACAATCAGCCTTATTCAACTAGTAGAATGCTTTGTATCCGGAAACACTATCAAATATTTGATGCATAAACAATAATGTTTTATAACAAATCAATTTGTATCATATTCATATTGTTTATGTATATGACACATAACTTTATTATGTGCATAAGATAATAACGTATCAGATGTTGTGATGTATCACATGTTATTAAGTATCTATAACACTGTTTTATAAATAAATCAGTGTATACCATATTCATAGTTCTTATTTTTGTATATGATACATAACTATATTAAATAGTCGACCTTTTTATTGAATCTGTTGCAATTTGATCAGAGAAAAAAATTTAAAATTTAAATTGTTTGGAGTTGTTATTTAATTTGAAAAACATTGACATCAATTTGATGTAAATTATTTAGGAAATTAACATCTAATTTTGTATTTATTTTCATTTTTTAAGTGTCATGGAAACTCACAAGATCATTGAGGACATCAAGAAGAAGATGCATCAGAGAAACATCACCATTACAAATTGCTATAGAGAAAGCAATGGGGTTGCCGATGCTCTAGCTAAGTATGCTACAATCATAAAAGAGTAAAAAATCTTTCTTCATGAAAATGATATTCCATTGGAGGCAAGAGGCCCATTATGCATGAACAAGCTACAATTGTCTAATTTTAAAAGAGAGATAGTATATAATGACAAATTAATAATATAAAATAAATATAATAGCTATCGCTTGATTTATTTATATTTTATAGCAATTTGCTTGTCAGTCCCTCTGTCCCTCATATTCTCGCTCACCACTCTCCCTTTCTCGTTCGCTTCCTGTCGCTCGCCTCTCTCACTTTGTACAATAGAATTGTATAAATTGTGTTTCTAATTGTACAAAGCGAGAGAAAATTGTATATGCACATGCAAATACATATGTTTTTGTCCTATACACTTATAATTATACAATAAAAGTACTCCCCTGCTCAAGTCTCTTTTGCCTTTCTCTCTTTCTCGTTTTATACAAATTCAAATTGTATATAATTTCTCTCTTTCTTGTTTATACAATTCGATTCAATTGTATATTCCCTGCCCAAGTCTCTTTTGCCTTTCTCTCTTTCTCATTTTGTACAAATTCAAATTGTATATAATCGTCCTATACACTTATAATTATACAATTCATTTTATACACTTCGTTTTATACAATTCTATGTCCAAGTCTCTTTCTCTTTCTCGTTTTATACACTTCGTTTTATACAATTCGCTTCAATTGTATATGTATAGCGAATTATATATATATTTGTTTGCTATAAAGCGCAATTATGCCAATTTTGCTATAACATACAAATATGAATTTTATGTTTGCTATATGTGAAAGTTGCCTTTAAAAGAAACGCTCATGTTGGACTTTTGGTACTCTCTAATCATACATTTTGTCATGGTTTAGAAAGGTGTTGCTTAGTCTAAAAATTGAAGGAACATTGTGCAATCAAAGTCTGAAGGCCTTGGCCATCTCATGTAAATGGTAGCCTCTTTTGTCTGTCTAGCTATTTTTAAGTTGGAGCTTTTGCTTCCCTCACTCCCCTTTGCATCCCCTTGTACCTAGAGGTAAGATTTGATTCCCCTCTCATATATTCTTTTGTTTAAATAATACACAAGGTAGGAGTCCAGACCAAACCCCCACCACAATGGGAGGTGTAAGCCTGGGTGGATGGTATGTAAAAAAATGTCACTTTTTTAATAGCGAAAAGAGATAAATATACCTGAACTATCACAAAATGTTATGAAGATACCCTTCATTATACTTTGGGACATTGGTGTCCTTGGCGTCCAAAAACTAGAGCATATATATCCTTTATACTAACGAACATACACGTGTCATAATTTTATCCACTGATTAAATTTCGTATCGACAGATAAGATTGCACCACGTGTCCCTATTTAGTCTTCCGTTATAGTGAATGACATACTCTAGTTTTTGGACGGCAGGGGCATCAATGTTCCAATAGTATGGCAGAGGGTATCTGCATATAATTTATAATAGTTTTGGAGTATATTTGTCCCTTTTTCCTTTTTTATATGTTTGATCACCCAACCTTGTGTAAAATGGAGGTTAGATCCTTACCCCCTTCACCCTTTTGTTTGTTCAAAGTTATTGAAATATACAAGGTTGGTGTCACACCAAATCCTCCAAAGCCCACTGGTATTAATCGAGGTGATCATGGCTTATATATATATATATATATATATATATAAATAAAATTAACTTATTATATAATATTTATGAAGGCATAACGTGTCAATTAATATTGACGGGAGGGAGTAATTTGTATCGAAGGGGACGTGGTTGTGTTACCTCATTTTAGCTGTTTGTAAGGTTGGAAAGTCCTTTTCCACTTCCTACCATAATATTCTTTCAGCTTAATTCTTAAAACCAAATTGTTTCTACTTGTAACCTACTCAAAAGAGACATGGCCAACTAACACCCACTATTAGTTTTATTTCTTAATGCTTTTAATTTTTATCCATTCTCTTTTTCCTAATATTATATTCTTCTGCCTCGCTGGAACTAAATGATGCCCTCTAATTAGCTGGTAAATTACATGAACTTAATAATTAAGTCAAGCTGGTGGATTATTGGTTTATTATTAATCAAATATAATTTCGTTTAAGAATTAATTAAAGAATATTCTTGCATCTCTCTCAAAAAAAGTACATCCCCCTCTATATATTGGAATTAAGAATATATGAAAATTACATAAATCTCATAGTGTTAAGATCTCGTTATATTTTATTTTTATTTTTAATTAAAAAAATCCTTTAAAATTATACGATCTCGAATACATCAGAAAATATGCAAATAAACATATATAACTTACATATGTATCTAACCAGAGAGTGATGTATCCGAAAGAATATTTTGGTAACTTTTTTATATGGTAAATTTTCTAGAGATTATGATGAAAAAAAATGTGTATTTAGATAATAATAAAACATTGAATATTATAATAGCTAGGTTACCCCACATACATATAGATCAATCATATTAATTAGAGAAAACGAAAATAAGTTGCCAATAATTAATAATTGTCAGCTTATAAAGGAAGCATGATAAATAGTTTTGGCTCCCCTTTTCAATTCTTTAATATATATATATATATATATATATATATATAATGGAGCATAAAGTTTATTAAACTAATGGAGAAATGAAAAAAGGCATCGCCATCATCTCTAAGTCCACTTCTCTTATTTTAAATCGATCATCGTCTCTTCTTCATTGATCATTTGAGTTCAGTAATTTCTTCTTCGAATATTGATCAGAAAAAAATTAATCGAAGCGCACAAATAAATATGGATTGTTCTATATGTAGCGCGATGCCATTTATTTTAAGGCCACCAAGAAATACAATATGTGCAGCTTGTTACGAAGGAGCTAGAACAATAATTACGTTGACTACCAACAAGGTTGATCATGTTGAAAATACAAAAGGAAGTGATAATAAAACAATAACTGGACTTCTTTCTGCTTCTTCATCCAATCCATCTATTAAGGTATGTATATATCATCATCTCTTTCTTCAAATTAGCGACAGATAAAATTTCATAGCTAAATGATAAAAATGTCACGTTAATCCCATTTAGCTATGGATTGATGATGGAGTATAGGAAAATTCAATTATCTTATGAGTTTTTTTTATAACATTTTGTTACTTTGAATTGTAGACAAATCTCATATATATATATATATATAACAAAATATGTGAAAGATGTTGCACATATAAAGAAGCTAATATTAATTCCTAAAAAGTATTTTAAGAAAAATGTGGGAATTTAGGACCAAAATGGAAAATATAAATGGTTGCCTCCATTGTTAGATATTTACAAGAAGATTTGGAGAAGGTTAGTTTATTTAGGTTACATTTCGTTTAATTATTTTTTTGTTTACTGATGATTTTGATTATAAATAAGCAAGGAGAACAAAGAGAAATTGGAAATTTAGAGTGCAGCGTGCAAAAACAATTTGCAAGGCAGTAGGTTGAGGCTAAACTTGTGTAGCACAAACCACTTTGTTTTACTAATTACTTTGTTCCAAAATAATGACATGATTAATTAGCAGTTGAAAGAGATGCTGATGTCTAGTTTTGCTCTATTTTTTGAATATTGATATGGATATTGTTTTCTTGATTTTCTTTTGGGGGGTGGGTGGGTTGGGGGAGGCTCAAAATTCACATATGGGGAAATTGCAGATTTATCACTTAAAATTAAAATTAGAATTATTAAAAATATATTCTCTTCGACTTATTTTATGTGACATCATTTCTTTTTTAAATTCTCCAAGAAAAAAATCATCTTACTGATAATTAGAAACAATTTTACTTAAAAATTTTCTTCTCACCCTTGATAAAATGATTTACAACCACACAATTATCAAAAGTTTATTTTAAATCACAAGTTTTAAAAGTTTTTTTTTTAACATAAAAATCGTACTAAGTCCTCTCCATTACTTATTCTCTCCATTTCTCGAGCTACATACTTGGATGAAAGCCATGTGTTATAATTTAAAATTAAAGTTGGAGATTTATTTATAATTTATAATTTATAATTTTTATACTTTTTAAATTATAACACATAGCTTCCATCCGAGGGTGTATTTAGAGAAATGGAGATAATAAGTTATGGAGAGGATATTCATTGTAAAACAAATGGAGTACAAATTGTCTGACTCTCCCATATGTAATCATGATCATTCTTATTGTTAGGATTGACTTTTTAATTCTTATCTTATAAGTCAAAAATCACAACTTAAAATTTTTAATTTATGAATTCAAATTTATTTTATTATGTTTTAGCTTAAGATTAAATATTTAAGAGTATCTTTTTAATTCACGCAAATATTTTAAAAATTGATTAAAAGCTATTTTAACTTTAAAATATTTGAAATAATGGAAAACTTATGGAAGTCCCACTAATTTAGGGGCTAATTATTTTGATATATTCAGTTTGCAATATTACGAATCTTATCAGATTTTTACATGAGATTAAAATTAGGTGTAATTGTTTTAGAGACATTATATTCATATAGATTCATACGTATCCGTATACATTATATCCAAGTGGATTCACATGTATCTAGAAAACACAGCAAATCTCACTTATCTCCCTCCTATCCTGAATACATGCACATACCAATTTATATGTCTAGTGTCATTCACATGTATCTAGTATATATATCTGATATACATGACTATCTCGCTCGTCTCACTCGCCTCTCCCTAATATTGTATATCTAGTAGTAAAAATATATGTATATCTAGATGTATATAGGAAATTCATAATTAATGGTAAGATATGTAATTGTCTAAAAGTATACATAGAAAATTACTATATATAATGTATAAATACATATATGTCTAATAAGCTAGTTGTCCTAGAATAAAAGCAATTAACTTGATGAAAATATAAATGGACGAGCTTTCTACAAAGCTGAAAAGCTATATCTTCATAAGAATTCATTGAAGTGACATAAAAATATTGAATATTTTGTCTAACTGATTCCAGGGATTTGGAAATGCATTGAAATGGGTGAAAGAAATGAAGGAGATGGAAGAGGAATCAAAGGAGAAGCTGAATTATCTTAGTGGTTTTGTTGTTGCCTTAAGAGATCATATTCATACTGATATTTTAATTAAACCTGGCAATGATGCTCCTTCTATACCAGCACATAGAGCTCTTCTGGTAATAAAACACGAGGTTTTGACCAAACTAAGCCATTATATAAAGCAATTCATCAAAATAATGCATTTTTCTAAAATTTTACAAAACTAGTATAAACGTATTTCACAGTAACGTTTTAGGGTATATTTTATTTTTAAAAAATTGACGGTTAGATTGATATACGTTACTCAGAGTAACGTTTCACTCCTAAAGTGTTATTCACAGTAACGTTTTAGGAGTAAAACGTTACTCAAAATAACGTTTCAGGAGTAAAACGTTACTTATAGTAACGTATATCAACCTAACGCTGTTAGTTTTTAAAAAATGAAATAAACCCTAAAACGTTACTGTGAAATACGTTTATACTAGTTTTATAAAATTTTAGAAAAATGTATTATTTTGATAAATAGCTTTAGATAATGATTCAGTTTGATAAAAAATTCAATAAAACACACCAAACTAGCTATTAACTGACTACATTTCCATTATCTCACTTCTGTTAAACATTTTACTTGTATTTAACAGGCAGCAAGATCTGACATATTCAAAAACATACTGGACTCAGATGGATGTAAAGCTCCACCAAGTAACAACACGATAACGTTGTCTGAACTAAACTACGATGAATTAGAGTGTCTATTAGAGTTCCTGTACAGTGGAGATTTGGCTAAAGAGAAGGTGGAAAAACATGTATATTCCTTGTCAATTGCAGCAGATAAGTATGAGATTCCCTTCTTGCAGAAATTTTGTGAGAATCAAATGTTGGGATCATTGAACACATCGAATGCTCTCGACGTTTTAGAGATATCTGATACTTGTTCTAATACGTCGTTAAAGGAGACAGCGTTAAACTTCATTGTTAAAAACATGGAGGATATTGTGTTTACTGCTAGATTTGATGCATTTGCACTCAAGAATCCTCATTTAACTGTACAAATTACTAGGGCTTCTTTTATAGACATTAAAAATAGAAGGCTTACTGTTTGATTATATCCTTGTGTTGATAATAACTAATTGTATGCTACACAAACACCTACAAGAAGGAAATTGGCAAATTATACAATATTTCTTCCTTGTAGTTATTGGGAAAATTTTTAAAATGTCAATATCTTAACATATTTAATACGATTCATTGTCATACTTTCAATATTTAGTAAAAATATCAAAAAAGAAACAATTGTTAAAAACAAAAAGGAGAAATTAAGGGAAGAGAAAAATATTAAAAAGGAATAATTGCTTAAAAGTCTTATCAGTTACAAAAATTCAAAAACAATGAACTAATTTGTCACGACCCAAAAATGGGCGTGATGGCACTCGTCTTATCCCACCAAGACAAGTAAGCCTAAAACTCAACTATTACAATAAAAATGCGGAAAATTTACTATCAACTTACATTATACCCCAAAATCCGGTTGTCACGTGTACAAGCCTCTAAAGTGTTACAATCGGATCAAAAGAAAATATAAGTCTCATATGATATTGTTTCTAGAGTAGAACAAAATTATAAACAAGAGTAAGGAGGGATGCTGAGATGACCAACAACTACCTCACAAAATCTCCAGGAAGCCTCGGAAAAGAAGAGAATATATCATAAAAGTCCGGGCTAGTAACCTACAAAAATTTGTAGAAGCAAGGGGTGAGTACCAAACCACATGGTACTCAGCAAGTAAACCTCTAAACACAAGCTAAGGGGATGAAATACGGATACTCCTACCACCCCCAACCGAACCTCCACAACTACAACCTGAATAAACATCAACCCAACCTAACAACTCACAGTTTACATAGAACGTAACTCAACAAAAACATTTAGACAAATTACATATCCTCCACAACAACACTTTAACAAATTACATATCCTCCACAACAACACTTTAACAAATTATATATCCTCAACATCAACACTTAAACAAATTAAGTTTTCATAATAAAGGTTGTGTATGTATACATATTGAGATACTTTAACTATTTCAACAACGCCAAATTATCAAAATGAAATGACCAAGTCAGTCAAAGGCTCCTACTCTATCAAGAGGAAATAAGAGGATCGGCACATCCGATCCACCACTAAGAATTCACTCATAGGTGTGGAACCACGCGTAATATAAGTAATGAATCATACTATAAATAGTGTCCAATACGAAGAAGGTTGTCACATAAGAATTTACAAAACCAAGGTTGAATAACACTAAAAACTTCTTCCATAATTCCCACATCAAATATTCCATTCATTTGAGTACATCTCTCGATTTTTATCCACACACAACCAACCAGTTTGATCCCCTGTTTTGTTAGTACCAAACCCCACATACTTTTCACAATAATCCAATGTATCTAAAACTCTTAATACCAATAAACATTATAGGCACACCATCCATTTACCTTACTATTAAACCGTCTCTGGTATTAAAGTATTCTTAGCGAACACATTATCGCCTTAAAATTATTTTTTTGTAACTAGGTCTTCCTCTCTTTCCCTTTTAAGTCATCGCATGACAACAATGAGTCACACCCAAGAGTGATAGCACTAATTACCAGTCTAAAAATACTTTTCCATCGAGGTAAAATAATTGAATCACAATGTCAACTTCACGTAAATTTTCAAATACCATTTTTCAACTTCCTATTCATACCATCATATATCTCATATCAACACTTAAGAAACTGTTAGTCACCCCAATAATCCTATATATTATAAGCTCATAATCTCTACTAACCATCAAATTTCTATGTAACACATTATAACAATCTACATAGTCCCATCAACAAAGTAGTTTCAGTCCCATCAAAATCTTTATTAATCGTATAGAATTGTAGGTCCACATTGTTGAATATAAATAAGGTACCTATCATATTGAATAACTTAACTCGACATAATAACATAAAATATTCCACACATAGTTGCTTGTCACCTAACCAAAACTCAATTTTTTAAGAAAAATCGATAAATAACTCGTAATAAGTCTTTGTAGGACTAGTTCATCTCACAGTCATATCTAACGTCATAGGTGAAAATCAATAAATCGTCCAACTACCAACCAAGGGCTTATACGAGTGTCTTATTCCTTCACTTTCTTAAATTCTTCTTAGGACGGAAAATTCTGAATATATTAATTTTTTTATATACACCACATTCTTGTTCCTTGTCTAATCACCTTACCAATCTTATTCTTTGGCTAACATCCCATACAATGTAAATCAATTCCTTGATAGAAATACTTTCTTAGGTCCTTTAACAATTAAAAGTAACAAACTCTACGATCCTAACCTTGCACATGTTATTTTAAATTCTCAATATCTGATGCTATCGATCAATTCTTACTTTAATTATTCATACCTCCATAAAACACATTACCACAAACCTAAATTTACCATGAAAAACTTGAGTTTTGGACCCAACTGTGTAACCCATTCCCTTTATCTATGAACATTAATTCATATCTTAAAGATTTTATGAATTCACGTATCTTAGCTTCTCATTGGTCGCCTATCCATCGACCTTATCATATTTTTCACAATCTTATCATATTCAATATCAAACTCAAAATCATAAAAGAATTTATTATCACACTCAAGTCAAATGTCTTTAGACTTCTTTCTTAAATTTTATCAAATAGTATTGAACCAATATTATGAACATGTGACACTATTATCATAATTAGAGCATAATAGATGAGATCACATGTCGATAAACTCCATCTTCTACCATATGAAGATATATCTTTTGTACTTGCACTCAAAGTAAATATCTTTGTTCTCGATCACCTCCTTCAAATGACTAAACTAGATCCCACTAATTCTTTTCATTTGTGACTCTAGCTCTTTTCAATTTTATTTAAGTCAGAGTCACAACACCTCTTATAACTTTTCATGCAACAACGTTACTCATCAAAAAGTAGCAGATCATAGCGATAAATACTCGCAGGTCGTTACTATCATAAAAAAATCATTTAACCCACAATCTTTATCATATAGTTATGTCTCAGTCACAATCCATCACAAACTCTTATTACCAATATGATCACTTAGCATTTGTCATCACCACGAAGTCAACATTCTCAATGACATGACACCTCAAATCCAGTTATACCAACAAAATCAAAGGACTAACCCGATTTTATATGTATTTTTTTACTATAATCTTCAATTATCTTTACACAAGTATACTCTTTGAGACTTTTCTTACCCATAAGTTCTTTTTCATTCTGGTATATCCATTCCCTTCGACCACTTCTCAATTAGAAACATCGAGATACACTCCATAAATTGACGTATTAATATCATTCCAACAATCCACCACTAAAACATCCCTTATAACAATGTTTTAACTCAAGCAACCGTAGTAACAAACTAGTTAGTTTCTCAAATATGAATGTAACATTGAATCTAATTGTACGAACATGTGATATAACTTATAACTCTTTAAGTAGTTAATATTCACACTTGACAATCGACGTATTCATTTCCATACCACTAGCGTCACACTGCAAAAATTAATTTAATTCACCACTAGAACATATCATACATATCGAGAAGATCGCACCCAACTAAACCACACATTTCTACCAATCAAATAGACGTAAAATATTACAAAATTTGTTCCATATCTAGCCTTTCCTTTAATACTTTCACTTTCGGTTCTCGAACTATTTTCGATTCCGCCTATACGACAGAAGTACTATATTATTTATTTATTTTACTATGGTCACTAACCTTAATCAACCCCTTCAAATATGATCACACATTTGTTTCATAAGTATATCATTTTCACCTTAATACCAGATCTAACATCAAACCAATACACGACATGCCAATGATTCACAAAAGGAACTACGCACGAGTCATCACATAAATGAGAGAAAGAATGAAATGAAGTAAGAATCAAAACGGACAAAGAATGCACGATAGAGATTCAAAAAGTGAAGATATTTTCTAAAAGTCACTGAAGCCTCTCGAAGATAAGTATAGACGTCTCCATACAGATCCTCAAGAGTCTACTTAGACTCGTCTTGTACACACGTGAGACCTATGAACCAGGGGCTCTGATATCATTTTGTCACGACCCAAAAATGGGCGTGATGGCACTCGTCTTATCCCACCAAGACAAGTAAGCCTAAAACTCAACTATTACAATAAAAATGCGGAAAATTTACTATCAACTTACATTATACCCCAAAATCCGGTTGTCACGTGTACAAGCCTCTAAAGTTTTACAATCGGATCAAAAGAAAATATAAGTCTCATATGATATTGTTTCTAGAGTAGAACAAAATCATAAACAAGAGTAAAGAGGGATGCTGAGATGACCAACAACTACCTCAATAGCAACACTTCCAAAAATTATATATCCTCAACATCAACACTTAAACAAATTAGATATCCTCAATAGCAACACTTCCAAAAATTTACATATCCTCAATAACACACTTCAACAAATTACATATCCTCAACAACAACACTTCAACAAATTATATATCCTCAATAACAAGCTCAGTATTCAACAATCACAAGTTTCGCAAAAAGGCAATCACTAGATCAGCAAAACACAATATCAAGTTCACTAATGATAAGTATGTGCAATGTAATGGAATGCAATGTCAAGTATAATGATGCATGTCTGACGTAGTGATACACACCCGCTGTCTCTCAGTCCGGGACCCATGGGGGACATATCTGTCCATGCATCTGTCGCGGCGCACGACACGACCCTCGATAACAGTAACCATCGCGGCGCGCGATACGTCCCTCGAAATATAGTATCCATCGCGGCGCGCGATACGTCCCTCGAAATATAGTATCCATCGCGGCGTGCGATACGTCCCTCGAAATGGTACATCCTCTTTAAGTTATCATTCTTTCTCAATGCACATAACACTTTCACAACCATGTCTCAGAATAATGCAATGACATGTTCACACAAATAATGAGGAGATGACCATTTTCATAACATTGCACAGTTCACAACCACACAAATATGAAATCACATCAAC